CAAAATTTTTATTTCCAAAATCACTCTCAACGTGTTTTACGGTGACTATTTCTAGGATATATTTACTTAATTATTTAAGACAAAGTAAGTAGTTGAGGTTTTAAATACTGCAGTTTCAGCAACTACTCTAGTCACCACAAATATTAAATTTCTCAACTTAGCATACTGCACTCCGTCGATAACTGCTAAGTTCATTTCATACCTCTAGCAAATCGAGCGCTGTTGTGGAGAGTTTTTGAAGTGTTTTTACTGCTTACAGATCGACACATTTTCAACTATTCTCCTATGGGAGATTATCCTCCTTACCTCTATACTCCATGGGTCACGCGCTTTCGGGCTGTCCGGTCTTCTATACGCCAGTATATTCTAAGTTTATGTTATATAATTAAGTATTATATGTATATATCTAAGTCTACGTTATATACTTCTATGATGGCGAAAGTCACACACGGTCACTCTGTGACCGTGTGTGACTTTCGCCATCATAGAATGCAGGCTGTCCAATATAGGGATTTATGGCTCACTGAAGTTAGCCTCCAAAAAATTTTATTTTTTTGTTTTCCAAATTTCGTTATCACATTTCGTTTATTCGTGGTTTGTTCTTGATTGTTTTTGGGTGTGGTGGCTCGTATGGTAGTTCGGTATGTCTTGTAAATACCTAACCGCCACACCCAACGTAGTATTCAAATACGTTTATGGTTATCGATACACTATTATTGTAAATTTTATAATGTAATCGTTTTTTTTTTCTCTATAAAAAAAGCAACGAAAACCTAAAATTGTGTCACCTGCTTGAAATAAAATTGTCTTTTCCAATGTAAATAAATATTTTGTAAAAAAAAAACTTTAGCTGTGTACCAAACAATCGACCAAATCCATAGGGTTCACTATAGATATCAAAATTGTTCTTCTCAATGTTTAAATAAATTAATGTTTTGTTACATAACTGTTACAGTGATATTTAAAATTTTTTTCTTTGTATACGCTATAATTGACTTCATAATATTTCTAACAACGTTAAATTAATACTTATATTCATGTTATAATATATTGTTGTTATCTTAAAAGGTGTGAATCACACCGTGTGGTCATAGTTCGATGTAATCGCAAACATTTCCGTATACGTACTTTGGAATTTAACTGCTAAGATTGCAATTTGTATTTTGATCTGTCTGTTGTTATGGTAGTGATGACGACTTATGTCCCCATTATTATTTCTTTGTTCTCTTAATTTTAATATGCAATATAGTAATTTATTTTCGATTTTATTATGTTTAACTTTTAAAGATTTTAAACTATTATAATTTATTACTTTAAAATAGTACTTATTTGTGTGGATTATGAGAATACTTACTTCGTTTAATACAATTTTGTAACTCATTACATAATGTATATAATTAATTGATTTAAATTTTGTTGTGCCCATATTGTGAGCCCCAATCCCTGACTGACAATAATCTAACTAAATATTATACTAGACTATAAGATATAAATTTGTGAAAGACGTAAGTACGAAAATTTATGAATAAGATATGGAATACATAATTATAAATAAAAAGTATTGACAGTATGTAGGTGTGAGCAAAGGAAAGAAAAATTATCGGAGGTTAGCATATCCACATACAATCGGCCTGATCAGCTGAGTGTTTGGAAAACCTAATAACCGATAAATTTTTAAGGTTGTTCGGATACTATAAAATGCGCGATGAGTTTTAATGTATTGGTAATGAGGGAAATGAGAGTTTTCTTTTAGAATTGTATAATAATATTGCCCATAATCTTGATCATGTATGTATGCCGAGCCGTGTACGTGAGACAAATATCATAAATATTTAATAAATTGCTGTGGAGTAAAATGGAAAATAACTAGTGGTTAACAGAGAATACATAAATATTTGAAGTAAAATGAAATATTGAAATGTGAAAATGAGAAGAGTGTTATTATTGTTCAGACTAGAAAAGTCGTATAATTACAAAATGATTTAAATGACTAAATGACTTAATGCCTACGAGTAAGTGACTTAGTTTAAAATGTACTACATTTTTACTGTGAAAAAAATATAAGAAAATATTTAAACGTAAGTAGATGTTTATCACTAATAAACTGTGGCGAATCTATGTACAAGACTGTGACCTCGACATTAATATGGGATGGGGGGATCTGCCCACCCGACCTACCCATAGAATACCACCTATTTTAATTTTGTAGTTTATGTTTAGAAAATAATAGGTATAAGTATAATAAGATTGAATTTTTGTAATTTAATATTTTTATTAGAATTAAATTTTATATTTAGTTTAATAAGTTAAAAAAAATGTATTAATTTTTTTTTCTCGGTGGGAGGTGTAGTGTTGCTCCACGAAATTATATATATTTGTGTTAAGTGTAGAATAATAACAGTATAATTAAAGTCTTGAGTAGAGAAACACGTCTTCCTTTTATTTAACAACCGTACGACATTACAGACGTGTTAGTGGCTACACGGGCTCCGCCCACTCCCCCGTTCTATTATTTATGTATTATACTATTCTATGTCACAAACTAATAAGAGTACTAGCATAGTCCTGATGGGTATTGTCATCATCATCATCATTACAGCCCTTCACAAGTCCACTGCTGAACATAGGCCTCCCCCAAGTAATGCCACAAAGCACGGTCCTGAGCCACCTGCATCCATCGACTTCCTGCATGTCTTACCAGGTCGTCACTCCATCTAGTGGGGGGTCGCCCTACACTACGCCTACCGGTACGAGGCTGCCACTCGAGAACCTCTCTTCCCCATCGGTTATCGGTTCTTCGAGCTATATGGCCGGCCCATTGCCACTTCAGCTTACTAATCCGTTGGGCTATATCGGTCACTCTGGTTTTACTGCGGATATCCTCATTTCTGAGTCTATCACGCAGAGAAACTCCGAGCATAGCCCTCTCCATAGCTCGCTGAGCGACCTTGAGCGTCTTCATATGGCCAGCAGTGAAGGACCACGTCTCAGATCCGTAAGTCATCACTGGCAACACGCACTGGTTGTACAATTTAGTTTTCAGAGATTGAGGTATGCCTGACGAGAAGATGTCCCGTAATTTCCCGAACGCTGCCCAGCCGAGTTGAATCTGTCGATTGACCTCTCGGTCGAAGTTGAACTTACCTAGTCGGACTATTTGTCCCAGGTAAACGTACTTCGTCAACAACTTCGAGCATAGTGCTCCCAACAACTACCGGGATAGGTGTGACATGGACATTGAACATGATCTTTGTTTTGTCCATGTTCATCTTTAACGGATATCCGTTGGGAGGCACTATTGAGGTCATTGAGCATAGTGCTTAAGTCCTCCAGCGATTCTGCCATAAGGACTATATCGTCGGCAAATCGAAGGTGAGTGATGTACTCGCCATTGATGTCAATACTGTATATCCTTTCCAGTCCAGTAGCTTGAAAACGTCTTCCAATGCAGCGGTGAAGAGTTTCGGGGATATAACGTCACTCTGTCTTACACCTCTCTGCAGTTGGATAGGTTTCGAGCTCTGGTTCTGTACTCGGATAGCCATCGTAGCCCTTCTGTACAAACACTTCAGCACTTCGATATACCGACAGTCAACTTGGCACCGTTGAAGGGACTGTAGCACCGCCCAAATTTCGACGGAATCAAAGGCTTTCTCATAGTCCACATATGCCAGGCAAAGTGGCAGATTGTACTCTTCAGTCTTCTGTACAATCTGCCGCAGGGTATGTATGTGGTCTATGGTACTGAAGCCTTTTCGGAAACCGGCTTGTTCTGGAGGCTGGAAGTCGTCGAGTCTGCGTGCGAGACGATTCGTAATGACTCTCGAAAACAGCACGTAGACGCGGCTCAGAAGGGAAATCGGTCTGTAGTTCTTTAAGAGAGCGTTGTCGCCTTTCTTAAAGAACAAGACCACCGCTCTTCTGCTCCACGCCTCTGGAGTAGTGCCACCACGGAGGACGGAATTGAAGAGCTTCTGAAGGACTTCAAGTACCGGTGTTCCACCCGCTTTCAGAAGCTCCGCTGTAATTCCATCCTCGCCTGGGGCCCTGCCGTTTTTAAGGTGCTGGAGAGCCATTCTAATCTCGCTCAGACTGACGTCCGGGATATCATTGGAATAGTGTCGGATAAGACTTGCTCTTGGATCGTTACTCACACTTGCGTGTGGCTCCAACGATGATGGGTACAGCTGCCCATAGAACCTCTCAATCTCACTCAAAATCTCAGGTGTCCCGGAAACGATGTTGCCACACTCAGTCTTCAGCTTTGACAGTTGGCTCTTTCTGACAGACAGATCTCTGGAAAAGACTTTGGAGCCCTGGTTCCGCTCGATCGCTTCTTTAATACGAGCAGTATTAAAGTTGCGTAAGTCTCGCCGCATGCATTTGGAGATCTGTCTGTTCAGTTGCCTGTATGCTGTCAAATCTGTTGACGATTGCAGCCTCATCTCCCGTCTAACAGCCATGAGATTAAGAGTGTGATCGGAGAGTTTTTGTGTTCTTGGGTGGATGGGTATTGTAATGGGGCAATATTACGTTCCTCTATGATGCAGGCTCAGAAGGGCTAGAACCCAGACACGTTAAGCCAGTTAAAAAAAGATCATGGAACGGCAGAAACCACAAACTAATAAGATAGCTTGCTACATATTTATTTATTATGTAAAGAGTCAGAAACAGATAAAGATATATACAGTAATCTATGAGATAAAGTGGATAAAGATAAAGAAACTAGGATCTGCTAGGATCAGCTATTAACATATAGGATTCCGTTAATAATTTAGTAGCGTAACATAACGTCATAGATTTTTATATTGATATTTGGGAATTGAGAATCAGCGTACAAATGGGTGCATTGGTGTAATAAAAATCAGTAAGTCAATATTTCGCTATATTCAGTGTATTATTGTAAACAGTCGGGACTATTTCTATACAAAAGAAATCTATTCACTTAAATAATGGAATATTTCGAGCCAGGTCCGTCTTGTGATAAAAATCAAGACAAAATGGATGTAGAGAAAGAATTAACCAATAAATTTCTTAGTGGTGAAATGTCTTTCGCTGAATATTCTAGTGAGTGGTATGGTTGTGACGATGAAGAGGAAGTTGATGACTTAAATAAATTGTCAGATGATGACTCCCGACCAGCTATACCTCAAGTTGAAAAAATTAGTCAAAGACGTCGTAAATATACGCGTTTATCGGCAGCTTTATTGGGATTAATGGGAGAAGCTAATTTACGATTCGTCAGAGGAGATAAAGAAACAGCTGAAAAAATGTGTCATGAAATTATAAAGCAAGTTCCAACAGCTCCTGAGCCTTACCAAACATTGGCACAAATATATGAACATGATGCTGAGAAATCCCTACAGTTTTCTTTGTTGGCTGCTCATTTAAGTCCTTCTGATGCTAATGAGTGGTTAAGGCTTGCTGCTATATCAAAACAGAGAAACGATGTAAAACAGGAAATGATTTGTTATACTCAGGCTATTAAAGCTGAACCATTCAACTTAGACATACATATGAAAAGGCTTGACTTATTGACAGTTTTAGAAGAAATGAAGTATCCACTCAATACATTAAATGTTACAAGAGTTAAATGCTATCACAAAATTGTTACTTGCTTACCAGCAACAGAAGCAGAAACTATCATGAAGTATGCTAAAATGGCAGCAACAATATATCACAACAGTAATGAATTCGAGCGTTCTCTTGCTGTGCTTGAAGCAGCTTATAAAAAATGTTCCTCACTTTTCACATTAGAAGATACAAATATTTACTTAGAATTATTGATAGGTCAAAAACAATATCAAACCTGTATTGATGTTTTTGTTGCAAAGGTTGGAATTATAATTGAAGCTGAAATACAAACAATAAGAAATTCCAATAATGAGATAGAAGAGCAGACCAATTATTTAAACTGTACAATTCCTAATAATTTACCTATTGATCTGAAAAGTAAATTGTTAATATGTTTTATACATTTGGGAGCTTTTAGCCTTGTAGAGACACTACTAAATGATTTTCTAACTAATGATGTCGAAAAGGCAGGAGATTTGTACATGGATATAGAGGAAGCATTTTCTTCTGTTGGTCACCATGAATTAGCTATGCAGCTTTTAGAACCACTTGTAAAGTCCGCTTGTTTTGATTTAGGCGCTGTGTGGCTTAAACATGCTGAATGTCTTTACAATTTAGGAAGGCAGGATGAGGCTATTGAGTCTTATTATAAAGTTCTAAAACATGCTCCACAACATCCTGATGCTCGGCGTAAGCTGTTTACAATATTAGAAAAAAAAGGTTGCATAGATGAAGCACTGGATATCTTACAACAAGATTATAATTATGTTGTTAGTGCTAAGTTACTTTATGAACATTGTTTGGAGCTCAAAAAGTATAACAAACCATTAAAATACCTGGAAGTTGGTGAAGCTTTGTTATCAAAAACCTTTCCAAAATTTAGACATCAGGAAGAACTAGGAATTGCTTGTAAAACAAAAGGTGGAATAGATTTAATACATGATTTTAGAAAAATGAGAGGAGAAAATCCGTATCATGAAGATGATCTTCACTTTGATGAGGATGAAACATTTAAATTAACACCACAACAGGAATGGGATTTGTTTAGAGAATTATTAGAAATCGCTCTTAATAATAAAAAAAAATTCACCATGGAAAGGTTGTGTTTTGGGGCAATGATGTCTAAAGCTTTAGCATCATATCGCCTCAATATTGATTTTTACTGTTTACAAGCTTGTATCTTAAGCAATAATCATCACAATGCCCTAAGATTTATAAGAGATTTTTCTCATAAATACCCTGGCCCTTGCTCATGGAATTTATTAAATTTGGTTATTAGTTCAGTAGACGATACGGCACATGTTAAGTTTTTGTCAAGGCTTTTTCAAAAAGATTATAATATAGTTAGCAATTTATTTTTAGGCAATAACTTTCTGATATCTGGGAGATATCTTATTGCATTAAAATATTTTTTGGAGTACTATGACCATTGTAGAGAACCCTTATGTGCATTTTTGATTGCTATAACAATTATGATTATGGCAGCTCAGAGGACTGTAGACAAGCATCATAATTTGATACTGCAAGGTCTTTCTTATCTTTCAACTTATAAGCAATTGCGGAGATGTGATCAGGAAGCATATTACAATATGGGTAGAATTTGTCATATGTTAAGCTTAAATAACTTAGCTATTGAATACTATGAGAAAGCATTGTCTTGTGGTCCTATAACAAAATGTGATAAACATGGTATCATAGATTTAACCAAAGAAACAGCTTATAACCTTTATATATTGTATAAAGACCATTCACCTGAAATTGCACGAAAATATATGTTCAAATATCTTGTAATTTAAATAAATGTGGTGTGAAATATGATTTATTTATTTGGATGATCATTATAATTACCAACTTATCTTCTTATTGGATACCTACTTTTTATAGTAGTATAACTGTGAAACCAAATCAGATACAATTCAATTGTAATATGAAATTAAAAATGATGAAATTGTATGGTATCTCTGGGCTAAGCTCTTGCTGTGTGCTTTTACAGTATGCAAATTCGATCTCTGCTGGCATCAATGAAATTGTTAAATAAGTGCTAATTTATTCATCCTCAGCGGTGAAGGAAAACTTTGTGAGACAACCTTCCTGATAAATTAAAAAAATGTATGTAAAAGACATAGAAGTTGTGTTGCCACATGCATTGAGGCAGCGTGGCGGATATTTCCTTCCATAAAACTTCTGAATTGAGAGGAAGACTGTTAAGCTAGCATATACAGGCCGTAACTTCAGCTGACAAAAAAAGATGATACTATCATCTATCTGAAGCTATAACATCGAATGTCATGAAATGTCAGAATTTCCCATAGTCTCCTATTACCACTTATTCTTGGATTCGCTTGTTAATGGTGTTCAGTAATATAATAAATTACGATGAAGAGAATATAATATAATAAGGGATGTCAAAGAAATTAATTCCATTACTTCTTTATCTATAGTCTATACAAATAAATAAAATTGAAGTATCTGTTCGAATTGTCAAAATAACAGCTTTTTTCTAAATACATATGAAAGTATATATTATGGCACTTATAACAAAAAACAATTTTTGAAATTTTTCTGTTTGTTCCGGCTAATCTCCTAAATGCATGCAAAATGCATGGACTAATTTTGACTGGATTTTCACTGGCATATAGCTGATGTTAGGGATATTTTAGGTAACTTTTATTTTAGAAAAATAAATAGGATTCCGCACCAAAATTAAAAACTCATAAAACCCTACAGTAATAAATACCATATGAGCGAAGTCGTGGGGAACAGCTAGTAATTTTATTTCATAGAATAAGGGTGGCAAACGAAACGAGCACACAGTCCACCTGATGGTGAGTGGTTTCTGTGCGGTTCATAGACATCTAAATCTACCCTCATTAAGAATTAAAATGTAGATACGTTGTCAAGTCATCCTTGAGGTCTAAGATAGAATGCCTCGTTTCCAGTGATAAAGGTCACCAGTTCTCTACACTCACCATACAAAACACATTTTTACAAACAAACATTTAGCTGCTATTATACGCTGATATTTTGTGAGAGTGTGGTCGTTCCCTGGTCGAGTCTACCCATTCGGGCTACAGACATAATATAGCTGCAGCATGGCTCTGTCACATATAAAGCTAGTAAGTTATAAAAAGACAGACATAGATAAATCATTTCGCATTTACTTTAATTGTGAATATAATGTTTTATAATAGGATCCTATGTATTCCAATAAAAAATGCCCAAATACTCAAACATTGTTTATTTTTACTAAGCAAAAGTCAAAAGTGTTTAAGTCAAATTGACTCCACCAGGAGACTTCTTACTTTCAACTCATCATATTTCGAATAAGCACATCATATTATTTATCCAATTATTTCAAACCTCACTAAACAAAATCTATTTAGAGTGTACAGTTACTGTTATAACATATCAAAAGTCCATTTCTAAACATAGACTATCATTTAAAACAGATTCTGATACACAAGCCGACAATTGGTGGTTTCCACTTACGGAGCTTATAATTCACAGACGTATATTAGACCATTTGTGTCTTGACGCTCTGAAATAAGTTTTTCATTTCACAAACAGCCTATTAAAGTAAACTGCTGAACATAGGCCTCTCCCAAAGATTGGCTCATGGGGGAGGGGGGATAGTGCCATTGTTGCCACGTTTGGCACCCGGATTGGCAAGATTGCAGTTTATTATTTTATTTATTAGTCGTTATTAGGAAGACGCTGCTGCCCGTCTCCTGATTTGTATACCTCTGTCGTCTCTTACGACACCCACGGGATAATATGGGTTAGTGGATATTCTTACATCTCTACTATACGGTAAACACCACCACTTTGCGGTAAACACCGCCACTACACGGTAAACACCATCACTACACGGTAAACAACATCACTACACGGTAAACACCGCCACTACACGGTAAAGACTGCCACTACATGGTAAACTGCGTCACTACACGGTAAACACCGCCACTACAAGGTAAACACCGCCACTACAAGGTAAACACCGCCACTACAAGGTAAACACCGCCACTACACGATGAACACCGCTACTACATGGTAAACACCGCTACAACATTGTAAGCACCGCCACTACGTGTTAAACACCGCCACTACACGGTAAACACCGCCACTACACTGTAAGCACTGCCGCTACACAATAAGCACCGTCACTACACGGTAAACACCGCCACTACACGGTAAACCCCGCCACTAAAAGGTAAACACCACCACTACACGGTAAACACCGCCACTACACGGTAAACACCGCCACTACACGGTAAGCACCGCCGCTACACAATAAGCACCGTCACTACACGGTAAACACCGCCACTATACGGTAAACCCCGCCACTAAAAGGTAAACACCGCCACTACACGGTACACACAACACAAAACTGTTTAATGAAAAATTTTAGACACCTTTAGTTTAAAAATTGAAACGTAGTCCATTATGAATCTGAGCTGTGTAACAACTGCTTTTCAAATGTCTATCTTTTTTTCTAATTAATAATAATTTAATTTTTGTAAATTCCTTAATATTCTATTTTAGAAATAAAAGATTATGTCGTCATCCGAAATCGTAGTGCCTGCGAACCAAGTACTGTTCGAAGAATTTTGTACGTTGTTAGACAGTTTATATGATAAGAAAAAAACCAAACGAGAGAAGTTCAGGATATTGTCGAATTATGTTGATGATTTTAGGCTCAAAGCAGCGCATATTAGACAAGAAAAGGTAGGTAGTAAAACATTTTCATTAGTACCTTATTTTAATGAACCATAATTATAATATACGTTATATGATTATTGTGTTTTCAGAATTCTACTTTTTATCCTATTTTGAGGTTACTATTACCTGCATTGGAACGGGAAAGAAGTTCATATAATTTAAAAGAAGCAAGGCTTGGCGCTTTATTTGTTAATACGTTGGCTTGGAACAAAAATTCCCCAAATTCTCAAAAATTATTGAACTATCGATCGAATTCGCATCATAAAGATTTTGCTACAGTTGCATACGATTTATTAAAGGACAGAGTCTGCAAATCTTCTTCTCTTACAATAGGAAATGTAAATGATATACTAGATCAAATTGCTAATGCAGAAGCTGGAAAATCACGTAAGTATGCTCAACCGAGTATCTATCAACTAATCTCGTGCAGTCATATTAAGTCCTAAGGCGATTGTGTACCGCCGCCTTCACCGGGACGTCAACGAGAACGAGATTATTTCTGGTCGAGATTAAAATGACGTGACGGCGATTGTTCAATCAGTTAAGTTGTAGCTGTCGTGCATCAGCGAGGTGCGACGTCACGGCGCTGTTGTGGATGGACAAGTCTTAATGTGTTGTGTATTGCCGGTATATCGGCCCGTCACAATCACGGGCCGAGTTCTCTAAACTTCAGCGGCCGCGATGGGGGGGGGCTATAGCTATATAAATGTATGTGTCGCTACCTCGACTCGGCACCGCGCCGTCATCTCATTCTCATTGACGTGACGTCCCGTGACGGCGGCGGAGGACAATCGCTCTGCTCTGGTGGACAATGTCTTGCGGTTGCGGCGGAAATAACAGAACAAGACTGATTTTCCTCGGATTATATTATCTATCCTTGTTTAAATTTAAATATACCTAGCACATAGCATGAAGTTCCGTAGCACTATGGTTAACTGTTTTATAGACAGGGTTTGAATCGATATAAATTATGCAGATGACATGGTGTTGCTCAGCTCTTCGATATTTACTTCATTTGCTGATAGATAGGATTCTATAATTCTAAGCCTTCTAAGGCATTGTGTCCTGTGGTATAGGTGCTGTTAATGTTAGAATTTTTATCGTTATTACTGTGCAGCTGATGGTAACTTCTACTAACTAAACATAACATTATGTTTTAAAACGTGCTCGGTGGTAAAGGGAAACATCCTGAATATAGCTAGGTACATGTCTGAGCCGTCAAACATTCTGAGGACATATTAATATGAGTCGACCAAACCGCCATTGGGGCAGTGTGGCGAACTAATTCTTCCAAAAACTTTTGCCTATCAGTTGGATAACTGTAACTTTTAATAGTACTTAAATTATGAATATAGGTGGTTGAGGACAATGTTCATATTAATGTATTGTTGTGTTATATACCTAATTACGTTGAAGAACTCTACTATAATTTTGTGTTGTTCACGCAAACATAGCTTGTCGACAACTCCTCTGTATTAAAACAAATTCCAACGTATATTTTTAGCTACTCTTGAAGAAATATTTACATATATTTTAAATAAAATAAATGGAAGGCAGTTGAAATGGTTCATCCGAATCATTCTTAAAGACTTGAAACTAAATATGGGCTTGAAACGCATCTTTGCTGCTTTCCATCCGGACGCAAAAATATATTATGATAACTGCTCCGATCTAAGTAAGGTTAGTTTATAAAATATAATATATTTTTGTATTTATATATTAGGGGGGTGGGTTTCCCTCCCGGGGGGGATCGCCGTGCCTTCGCCGCGTGGACATATAGGCTGTAACTGCATAACTGCAGGCAATGTATTTTATTCTATTGAATATAAAATCCTGGAAAAAACTTAATACAAATTAAATAAGACTTAAAGGTACAAATGTTTGAACTTTGAATAGTTTAGCTGTAGTAGTAGTAGTTAGTAGGGGAGCCCTAAACGGGATTTTTTGGATTTACTCAAGCGTGTCAGATTAATGTATGGTGGGTTAACTACAACCTTAAAGGAGTATACATTTATAAAATATGATTTCGTAATGGAGTGGGTTACAAAGTTGCAAGAAAAACGTCTAGACATTCTCG